AGTCCCATCTATTTTTTGTATCTCACATTTAGTTTCGGTTTTGAGTTGTTTATTTTTTATATTTCGCATATTTGTAAATTCATGCGAGAAGCATTCGTGAAAATTATCAAGCAAAAAACTTCTAGAAAAAATTTAGGAGTACCTACATAACTGTTAGAACATAATTATGGGCGTATAAGTATGCCATGAGATATTTGAAGATCGCTAAACTATGAGCACAATAGACTAGATGCGAGTAGAAAAAATCTTGATTTACGCCATTAAATATTCAAAATTCAGTCAAAGCGATGTTATATTTGAAATCTGCATGTAAAAGTTCATCTAGAAATATGGTTTCGAAAATTGTTTATCAAGTTTGAAAACTTAATTATTTTTGAAAGTGTGACTTCTAGTTCGGGTTGATTCTCCAGAAGAGACCATGTTACAAAATCACAAAAAAATAAATATATTTTCCTGTATTGGTCAGATAACATATTCCTTTACTGGACATATTTTGATTTGCATAACTATTAGATAAATAAGGGTTATATGAAAATTGAACCACTAAAACAGATGCAATTTAAGTTAAAGGGAACTTTCTACTATACCCGCCATGCTATCTGACCCGAACGAGCCACCTGGTGGTGAAACTGGTAACTACCTACTCGCATCTACGTTATTGGTAAAAGGTACTTTGATTTATTTTCAAAAACTTGTGTTTGCGCATAATACATGAGGTATCCATATCAATTTCGAAATATTTCGAAATATTTCAAATACCGTTTCAGACAAAAAACATAATTTTTGGTAGCCAATCAGATTTGCCGATATAAACACACTCAGGTCAAAATATTAGAAAACATTGTGTGTTTGAAAATCATGATAAAGCATGTTTCTTTACTACTTTGCTGCAGTAACAGTGACCTGAATGTGATGTTAAATCTTTGCATCCGGGGTGAAATCTATTGCTGATTTTCAGGTTATTAAAATTTCCTTTTCTTGAATTCCTTAGAAAATGAGAAAAAATGGTGTTACCATGAACACTGAGTGGTTTCATCTTTATCAGATGCTTTAAGTATCTACTATACATTTATCCCACAAGTATTGAGTTATCTGTACAATAACACCCAGTGATATTTCTGATATTATGGAGATCCGTGTAATATTTTTTAGAAAAATGTTTATCAGCCACACATATAGCTGCTATCATTTATCAGCCACATATCTGTATGATAAACAAATTTGAATGTTTTGGATGTTTTTGAACTTTTGATTGTATCATAGGACAAGGCATTAACATGACAAAATGTCACCACCTAGTTGCTGAAAACTTGTAGAAGTTTTTGAATATAAATTGATCAATTTGAAGCAAGTTGTAAAAATACCTTTTTTGACCCTGAGAAGGTCATTGAAGGTGAAATCTCAAATCTAAAGTCAGATTTGAACTTCTGAGATTTTGTAGATGAGTTTGAAAAAATGGTCAATTTGAAGCAAGTTGAAAAAAGACCTGTTTGACCTTGAGAAGGTCATTAAAGTTAAAAAGATTTTTGATCTTGAGAATGTCATTGAAGGTCAACTCTATAGTCTGATTTGAGGTCTTTTGAGAACTTTTAGATGATTTTGAAAAAAATTGGTCAATTTGAAGCAAGTTGAAAAAAGACCCCCTTGACCTTTTTTGACCTTGAGAAGCTCAGTGAAGGTCAAATCTCAAATTTAAAGTCAGATTTGAACTTCTGATAACTTCTAGATGATTTTGAAAAAATGGTCAATTTGAAGCAAGTTGAAAAAAGACCTTTTTGACCTTTTTTGACCTTGAAAAGGTCTTTGAAGTTCAAATCTTAAATATAAAGTCAGATTAGAATTTCTTAAAACTTGTAAATGATTTTGAAAAAACTGAAGTCAGTCTTAACAGTATTTGTTAAGTTATTGGAAGTTCTAAGAATTTGTTACAGACGCCAACCGCCAACCACAACCCCCGTTTGCCAACCGCCGATCACCAACCGCTGCCAAAAAAATGGAGACCATAACAATATGTTACCACTTTTTGATGGTGACATAACTAGAAAAACAGCAACTCCACGGAGTAGCAAATCCCACCGAACAAAACATATTATGCTTCTTTATAGCTAGTGTAAATGTTGAAATGTTTGTGCAATTTGTGATAGAAGAATGAAATTTGGCACAAAGTTAGTTTATACCATTGTGAACTAGGCATCATCATATAAAATTTGAACCAAATCCGTTCACTGGTATATGAGTTAACAAAGATTACGTTTTTTTACGAAAATTGGCCGCCATCTTAAAATTCAGCCGCCATCTTGAAAATTATTTCTTGAACATAGCTACTGTGTCTCTAAGCATCATCATATACAATTTGAACCAAATCCGTCAATTGGTATTGGAGTTATCGCCCGGACGGAAGGATGGACAGACGGATGTCATTTGTTATTGCTGCATTGGTTTCTTCATTCGTTGTCTTCTTTCTTTGTCTTCTTTCTTTGTCTTGATTTGATTGTGATTTTGGTTATCTTTCTTCAGGGTCCACAGACTTGAGACTGCGCGTAGGTGGGTTAAACGTTTTGATATGGACGGACGGATGGACGGACGGACGGCTTCTCTATATCCCCCTCGAACTTCGTTCGGTGGGATAATAAACCCAACATTAGATCATTTCTAGTGATATCAATTTATTGCCTTGTAGATAACAAATATCAACACTCATCATTTGCTTCGATCACTTGTGTTGATATTTAATAACAACTCATCGATAAAATTGATATCACTCAAAATGATCTGATATATGTATATATCAACATTTTGATCCATTTGAAACGTTTATTTGTGTAAAGTTATAATAGTTATCACATCTTAAATGCGTCAAATATGCTAGGCAAAACATTCCCTTTTTACTTGAGATTAAATTCTTAACAGGAAAAAACAAAATGAGTGTCAATGCCAAATGCCTATGAGCATGACAATACCTAAAAAACATGTTTCCAATATTAAACTATAGGTTTTTGGTTGATATATTACTATTGATATATTACTATGAAGTAAACAGTTCGATTGCCCTACTCTCTTTATTTAAAATTTTTTCTATCACCCTTCAGCCTATGTATTATACTGTAGAATCAGCTAACGTTTAAAATGTGTTTGTTCAAGGACTTTTATAAGTGGGATCAATACAACAAGGGACATTTCTCAATAGAAAGGGGATTCCCCGTTTTACTAATCGGAAATTCCAAATTTGTTCGAAAAACAAAGTGATTAATATTGAAATAGGATGTAAACTCTTAACTGCTTGGTATAAAAGTCATTGGATGAAGTCAAAGAACATATAATAATTTCCTGGCTCCTGTTTGAATGTGAAGGTCTAAATATCATGAGGAAGGTACCTGAATTAATAAACAAAAAAGAACAGGCTTTAACATAAACAATTATTTAATCAATACAAGCTGTACTAGAATGAGCCCTCTAAGGATGGTAGGTGATGTCAATTATATTCTCAAATGCAGCCAAGTACATAGTACATTAAGATAATTTATCTTATTAAATAAAAATGGGATATGTTGTTCCTGATTGTTCCTGTTGACTTTGCCTAATTAATATCATCATAATAGTGTGATGATATATAATGCTTCAGACAGAATAACTTTATTTGAAATTCATCATACAGACATAAGTCCTCATACAAAGGGATTGCACCTTAAGACGTTAACGATTTGGAGTAAAAAGTTGGAATTAAATACAGTACATTTCACTCATTGCACATTATATGATAATGGAAACAGGTAGCAGTAATAGTAACAGTAGTAGTCATAGAGGAAATAGATCTAGTAGAAGGAGACAGAAAGTAATCACATCTTTAATCAAGAACACTCTCACTGCAACTGAAAAAAAACAACTTTCTCAACATGTAACTGAAATACACAACTTGGTTAAACTGAAACACAGTAAAGAAGACATAGACAGCCATGTACAGTATATCAGGACTCAAGTTATACAACCAATTCTTGATAAATTCAACAAAATGCACCCAGCATTAGCAGTGGATGATGTACTACTGAATGGAAGCATGTCAAATAAAAGTAAAATAGAATTTCCTAATGAGATTGATTTTGTTCTCCCAATGGCACTCTCCAGATATGTAGAGATCTCATATGGTTATAATGAAGGCTGGTTAGATGTATGGTTAGCTGATGATGAACCTCACATTGATTTACTAAATCTCACTAAGAAACATCCAAAGTTAATACTATATGGCAATTCACTATCTTCAAAATATTTAACTGAGAGTATTATACATGAAGCTGTTGCAGAGTGTTTATCACAACTACACACTGAAGGTGTACTGATCTATAAGAGAAAGGAATTTCTGACATGGATGCCTGTAGAATCATTTCAGCTGGAAGAGAATACAGTCATCCTGCAAGAGAGACCACATGGTCCATGCATCCAACTCAGGGTGTGGGGACCATTGTGTGTAACTGACATAGACATTGCATTCTGTCTGAAAATACTCAATATACCTCAGCTGCCTCATACAGAGGACAGCTACTTTATTGGATTGCCTATGGGATTTGGATGGGTGAAATCATTCTATGAGAAACCAGATGTGCGAGCATCCAGGATAGATGATCATCACATGATTATACTGAGAACACTGAAATATATTCTATCACAGTATGAGAAGACACTTCGTGATTATAAAACAGCGTTACATTCACATGCACTATTCACCATAGTAAGACATCACCAAGAGCAATGTGATAACAATGCAGAAGATCCATATATTGCTGAATGTTACTGTGACATCTCACACAATCTATGTAAGCTGTTGCTAAGATCTGTAGAGAATACAACAGAGGTTGGAGTAAGTGACGATTGGCTTGAAGATCTCTTTGATAAAGACTGTCCTGATATGTATATTAATAAATCAGTTGGTGATTATGTAAGCATTCTAACAAGAATATTCCTACTTGTTGTGCACATCCTACCAGAACTACTGACATCATCACATGTAAATTCTCCTGAGTTCTACTGTGAATATCTGAAGCTGGTATTTAAAGAGTCTGAGCTAGAATACAAGAGACAAATTATACTACAGAATCCATACTGGATGTTTACATCTAGTGAGAGGGAAGAGATCTCATCTGTAGAGGATGTGGAGGAATTAAGAGAATATGATAATGATGATTATGATGATTATGATTATTATGATGGTTATGATCGTGGTTATGATTATCCAGTTATGGTTGATACAGAGAGAATTCTGTCAAGACTGAAACCTAAGATAACCTCATTGCAATCAAACATTCAATCTCATAGCAGTGAACCCAGTGCATGTGAGGCCAATACCAAGCCAAATTATACCCACTTTTTATCTCAAACATCCTCATTAGGATCTCACTTCACTGAACTAGTGCCTGCTGTCTCACACCATTATTCTAACTCTGCTCCCATAACTTATCAATCATCCCAGACCCAAGCAGGACTTCACCATGTTATATACCAGGATTTGCAAGCTGAACATTCCTTCCATGTTATATACACAAAAAACAAGGCAGGATTCCTGGAGCATATGGTAGACTTGTTTAAAACTCAAGGCATTGAGTCTGAGCCAATTTACAGAAATACTGAATTTGAGGAACAATGTAATAGTCATCAAAAGTGCTCAAAATGTGGGGAAAGCAACCATGTGACTAGTACATGTTGGTGCCGTAAACCTGTGAGATGTTTCCGATGTAATCAGCTTGGACATAAAAGGAAATTATGCCCATCATAAAACTGAATTAAACATTCAAGTTGTGAAAATTGCAAGATCAACTTAAATACAATGTACATAGAATGTCAACAAGTGAATAACAGTGTGATTTGCAGTCCAATGTTACAGGGCATTTATGCAATTATTACCTATTAGGATACACTTTGCACCTGCCCTCTTCCTTGATATATGAATACATGTATATGATATTATGGCATAATTACAATGATAGCAGCACTGATGAAAACCCAAGTAGAGAGGATAATCAAACAACTATACCCTAGACAGAAATGATTTTGCACAATCATGTAAGTAGACCAATCTTTTCTATCAAATGTCTATAGAATCTGTTAAATGTCAATTATTTAAGATTTCTAAAATTAGATAATTTGATGTACACTCTTTTACCACATATTTTTTTTCAAAACTAATTAATGGAATTTACCAATTTTGCATGTTAGATTTAACCGGGCACACCAAAAGTTTGAAGTTCTAAGATTATGTGGACTGATCTTTACATAAGATTGTTGCTAATATACTATAAGTTTTCTATTCACATTTTAACCCTTCCTAACACATTGGTGACAAAAATATGCACAAAATGACTCTGTCATTCCTGAAAAATTGGCCTGAAAATTGATACGATGTTTTATCCATTTCCATAGACAGCAAGGTTATCGCAAACAATTACTAACAATTCTAACTTGAATTATGAATATTTTCTGTCCTTAAATAATGAATCATAACTTCATGTTTTTCAGAATGGATGCATCACCCCATAGAGCACTACCTCACTATCTCCCCCAACATCCCAAGAATGAATGGCAAGTCCCTGGCTCATCAAAGGTATGTTGAATGTTGATGTGATATTCTAATGTTGAGACTGGACTCTATTATATACACATATACAAACTGTACTTTAATGATGAATCATAACGTCATGTATTTCAGAGAAAATGCATTACCCGAAAGAGCACTACCTCACTATCTCCCCTTTACATCCCAAGAATAAATGGAAAGTCCCTGGCTCAACAAAGGTATGTTGAATGTTGATGTGATATTCTAATGTTGAGACTGGACTCTATTATATACACATATACAAACTGACACTGGACTCTATTATATATACAAACTGAACTTAAATGATGAATCATAACTTCATGTATTTCAGAGTGAATGCATTACCCCAAACAGCACTACCTCACTATCTCCCCTCAACATCCCAAAAATAAATGGATAAACAGCACAGGTAGTATCTAAAGCCCCGCTATGATTTAGAAGTCGCGAGCAAATACCCGCTGAAATCGCGAGCAACTAAAAGAAAAGAAGGGTTATCTTTTGTTTACTAAATTGTATGTTGTAAAAAGCGTTTTCATTTAATTTTACTCAATTATTACATGGTATTGATACTAAAAAGCAACTTCTGCAAAAAAGGATCACGAGCTGATGTTCTGAGTTTTGTTATTCGATAATTGGAGAGAGAATGTATCATCTTGAATCTTTATCTATATATTTCTATATTTTATAGCTGAAGAAGGTCATTGCCCTTCAGTTGAAATGGTCATAGTAATATGAAATGAAGGTATTGTGAGTTTCACTTCCTAAAGTTTCACAAAAAATTATATATTTCAAATTTAGCATATCCCTTGAGGCCCCGCTTCTACCATGAGCAATAAACTAAAGATCCCGCTGAAAACATGAGGAGGCCCCGCTGAAAACATGAGGAGGTCCCGCTGAAATCAGGAGCAAGTGGCTCTCTAAAATGGAGTGAAGACCGATTTGACTTTGCAAATCTGCCACGACTGTAGCCAACGTCATAAATATATTTAATTATTGATACTCTCCATAGCATATATATATCATATATCATTGTCATTGTTATTATCGGTTCGAGCAACCCCCCCCCCCTTACCAAAACCTGGCTACGAGCATGATTCCAATAAAACCATTTCACTTAATGTATTTCGACCTGACTCCATCGAGAAATTTACCAAGAGAAGATTTTTAATCCATTCCACAACTTTTGACAAGTTTCAAATAGACTAACTCGTTCTTCTTTGTATGCAATATATATTTATATTTCACTGAAGTTACATTATACTGTAGTTCAGTATATTACTACCTTAGAGGATTCAGCACCAATGGCGCACACGTTTGAAAAGGCAATTTATGGATCAACTGCTAGATGTAAGTAACAAAGGAGTACATCATCCGATTATGAGTCCGAAATAATAATAATCAAATAATTTCATCATTAACAATTAATCGTAGGTTATGTTAAACGCACGTGTTGCGCGGAAAACATGATGCAAATATGTGTCATATTCTGCACTAAATATGGCATATTCACTTGCGGTGTATGACAGATTCAGCTGCAGTATATTGCATACCCACTAAGCAATGAGAACACGATTCGGAAGTACGCAATTGTCAATTGCATTGATTGAACAAACGGGTAATCATTGTGTCATTTTCACCTGCGGTATATGACATATTCGGCAAGTGAGTATGACATATTCTGCAGGTGACTATCAGGTATTCACTGAAATAAATGTATCGCATATTCACGGCGGAATATCACATACTCACATACTCATCTGCGGAATATGCCATAAACTGCAGATGAGTATGGCATATACTGTATACCTGTATCACAAATACCACGCAACCATAAATGTATGCCATACTCCGCGTAACATCGTATCTGTTACGCGGAATATGGCATATATTCATGGTTGCGTGGTATTTGTGATACGGGTGTATATGCCATATTCAGCTGTGGTATATGGCGTATTCCGCAGGTGAGTATGGCATATTCCGTATTGAATATGTGATACATTGATTTCAGTGAATACCTGATATTTTAATAAATATTTAAAAACAAAAACTTGAATATTATTGTTAAATGTTATTGTTAAATTATAAAAGTAGAACCTGAATTATCATGGAGACTTTGTGGTTCTCCTTTCTCTCTAAATTTCATCTTCTTGCAACTTGGGGTGTCTTTGTTTAATACAAGACTCATTACCCTGAACCTCAGGCTTCAATTAAGTTCATTCTTGAAATGATATCCACCTTTCTTCTATACATTTTGATATGGATGCAACTCTATAAAATGTTTGACGAAATCTCTGGTGGCTTGAAGTTGGAATGGAAACATTAGAAACCTGGCCCTAGAATGAAACAGTATAGTAGCCCGGACAGAATTGTTCAATGGTCACTTTTTCTTTAATAACTTTTTCAATTTTCAGTATTATCAAAATTCGATTACATGTTTGAAAACTAGAGTAAAATTCTGACATACAAAAAACATATTTAAGGAACATCTCTAAATTTATTGATATTATAGGCATTCAAGGTATGACTGGCGCAAATACATAATTCATCATTTTGCCTCATATTTGTCCAAATGGCGGCATATTTTGTGAATTTGAATGTTCATCAGTTGAAAGGTAATATTTAACGATTGTCACAGGACTATAGGGCCATGCTGCCACCATTACAATCCTGATGTAATGCAACAACTGACCAATCATCAAATACAAGAAGTCAACTCCCTCCAATGGTATATGAAATCAACTCTATTGAAATGTTCGGGGTTGTGTTCAAGAGGATGTGAAAAGGTGGCGCCCCAATGTGTGGGGTGTGGCGAGAGTAGGTCCTCAATCTTTTCAAGAGCTCCAAACAGCCATCTCAGAGGCCACTGAAAAGCTCAAGAACAATTCACATGCATGCCAAGGATGGGTTAAGGGGCGTGTGACTGGGAAAGACATGACAGACTGTGGTAGTATGACCCTACAGTTGCACAGGTTAAACGATCTAGGGTTGCTAATTCACTACGAGTAACAATGGAATGGCCAAAAAACTTAAGTCCTACGACCTTACCAATATACTGTACATACAATGTACAAGTACTGGTATACATACAAGTCAATTTAAAGGTTATAAATGCAGCTATTACCTCATACCAAAGCAGCAGTCTACATGATTTTGTAGGCCTATGCCATTTCTTAAATATTAACTTTCAACTGAACATTCAAACCACTAAATATGCCGCCATTTTGAACAAATATGAGACGAAATGGTGAATTATGTATTTGCGTCACTCATACTATGAACACCTATAATATCAATAAATTAAGGAATGATCCTTAAATATTTTTTTTGTATGTCAGAATTTTACTCTAGTTTTCAAATATGTAATCAGATTTTGATAATACTGAAAATCAAAAAAGTTATTAAAGAAAAGGTGACCATTGAACAATTCTGTCCGGGCTACTATATACAGTAATTATTAGGAGTACTTAACTTGGTCTTTCGTGTACGTTTATTTGAAGAACCTCAATATTTTATGTAATAGTAATGAGCTTTCCTCGTGATCGAAGCGGGTACTCGTGATATCTGCTCCTGTTTTCAGCGGGACCTCCTCATGTTTTCAGCGGGGCTTCCTCATAACTTCAGCGGGGCCACTGGCACACCTTCAATGATGTATTTCACCCCCACAGTGGATGTTTTTGAAAACAAACTGATCAATACATACAATGTTGGTCAAATATTCATAATGAGGTATGTATATCGTAGTTCGTGTCTCTATTTTAACCATAAAAGTAATATGTTAACAGTAAATTATTCAAACGTGCATATTGACGCCCGTTTCTTCCGTGCCAGTAAAAATAGTTATCTTTCATGTCATTGTTTGTGAAGATATACCTGTTCTGAAAGTATACCTAAAGTATCAAAGAACAGTAATGCGTATTCTTACCTTTTTGGTCCACATTTCCAGATGAATTAAATAAAAAGGACTTTGCTCGTGATTTCAGCGGGAACTTGCTCGCGACCTCTCAATTATAACGGGGCTTTGGATACAACCCGTGAACAGTATATTTGACCATAGTAACTAGAAAAACAGCAACTCCACGGGGTATCAAATCCCACCAAACAAAATATATTTAGACTATTAGTGGCCATCTTGAATTTCCTTCTTGAGCAGAGCTTGTTTGTCCCTAAGCATAAACATATAAAATGTAAACCATATCTCTCAATTAGCATTTAAGTTATCAAAGATAACATTTCTTTTT